ACATATCCAAATTTGAGCCCCATTGGATACGTTTTGAAACCTCTGGCCTTCCTACACCAAGTCTGGTTCAGAAGAATCATTCTTTTCAGCAACCAAAAGAAAACCACATGGGTTGGAAGCAAAAGGTATGTTATCTTGGTTTGAATTAAGAGTAGACACCATGCTTTAATTCGAATTGAACTATGAATAGGAAGAGTATGTATGGACATTCGACAACAGGGATTAGATACATGCTTGGTTGTTTAAATTGTTCTTCTATGCTTAATGGGTTCCTAATGCTTAATTTTAGGTTAGACAACAAATGATCAAATTAGGGAATTAGGAACACAAGGTTTTGACCAAACACCATGGCTTAATCATACTTTAGCTAGAATCAATCCGTTAATCTAATTGAACTTGGGAACTTATCTACTTGAGTTATTTTCTTTTCTTTCTTTCTTGTTTTATTTATTTTCTTTCTTGTTTTTCTGTTTTGTGTAGGAAAACTGAATTGGATTATTCAATCACCAATCCCTGTGGAATCGACCTCGCACTTACATATGCTATACTACCGAACGGCTCATGCACTTGCGAATATCACAAGTTGAGGATGCAGCTTAATCCATTTTGGTGCAAGCTGAATCGACGCAACAGCAGTGTGGAATCAGGGACAAGGGGGACACACGGGACAGCTGCAGGCTCTGTCAGGTTGACTGCAGATGCTGTTAGGTCTGTTGTAAAAGGCTCAGCAGGACGATAGCTTGATGTAGGTGGCGCGGCAGGAGGGGAACAGCTGGATGATGGAGTGCATGTGGCTGATTGAGTCGATGGGTCTTGCTGCAATTGCATGGGTTGAGTGACAGGTTGCGAGGCAGGTGACTGAGAAGAGTGATTAGACAAAAAGCCTATGGGAACAATGGCAAGTTGTGGAGAGGAAATTGATGGAGTGGCAGCAGCATAATAAAAGTGATCTTCATGGAAAAGGACATGCCGTGAATTGTAGAGTCGTCCAATAGGTGGATGTAAGCACCGATACCCATGATGTTTATCACTGTAACCAACAAAAACACACTGAAGAGAACGAGGTTGTAATTTGTGAGTGACATAATCGCCAAGATATGGATAACACAAGCAACCAAAAATTCGAAGCATTTTATAATCTGGGGAATGACCAAATAAGGATTGGTATGGTGAGATCCCATGAAGAACAGGCGTAGGAAGTCTATTAATTAAATAGACTGCCGTGCAAAAAGATTCAACCCATAAGGTGTGGGGCATGTGAGCAGTATGTAAAAGAGTACGGCCTTTAGGTTTTTCGAGGCAGAAATGGTCATAGTGGACAACCAAGCAGTGCTCGACGCTCTACAGGGTTGAAGGTGGGTACAGTGGGTTGTGGTGGAGGTGGGTGATTTTCCTGTGGGTTTGGAGTGGTGGTGGTGAGGGCAGCTCTGGGTTGTGTGGTGAGGGTCGCTTGGAGGAAGAGGCCGACGAGCTTCTCTGTCTTGGATTTGAGCTCGATGTAGTCTTTCTTAAATGAATGTGCCTCGTCCGCTAGGAAGGGAGAAAGAGGAGGGGAAGAAAGGGGAGGGGAGGGGCTGGGGTTGGGTTGGTAGGGAAGAGTTGTGGATGGGAAAGCGGCTAGGGTTGGGTTGGTGCTACTAAGTAGGGCTCGTCAATGGGTCAGGCTGGGCTAGCCCAGCTCAAATTTAACGGGCTTGGGCCGAGCCAGGCCAAGCTTGAGAAAGCCCATCGAGTCGGGTCAGGCCGGGCTTGAGAAAGCCCATCGGGTTGGGCCATGCCGAAACGGGCCTACTTCAATTGAAAAAATCATAAGGGCATTTTAGTCCAAATTTGAGATTAAACTCACATAATTCCAATATTTTCACATCAAACCAAATTCATAAAACACCCAATAAAGTCACACAACTCATTAAGATTTTCCACAAAAATAATAAAACCAAGTATTATTTTTTAGGTTATTACATAATTAGACCGTAATACATTTTAAGAAATAATTTTAAAAAATAATAAGTATAAAAAAAACATTTTTTAAAAAGGATGGTATGAATGAATATGCAAATGTTTGGTGATGTGTTCAAGAAAAGCATAATTATATTTGGTGGTACGATTATGTTTCGTGATATGATTATATTTGGTGATATGATATGTTGTTCATCTTATATATATATAATTGTTGTATTAATAATTGACACAAATTAAATTAATGTGCTAATCATCCAATTATAAACTAGGAATGAGTAAAGAA